GAGCGTATAGGCCCAGGGCGGAGACGCAGCAGGCAAAAGTTCCCGCGTTGAGCAGTGGTGGGATCGCGCCCGGGAATAGGCACTGGTGGTCAGCCTGGTCAACCTGTCCAGACCCGTATATTTTTTGCGTTTTATTGTACTAAGGTGCTGTAAAACCAATTAATACGTGTGGGTTACTTATATTTAAATCACTGGTTTGTAAGTTATTAGGTGTGTATATAGTTTTTATAAGTATAGAGTTTACTTAAAAAAGGGTTTATTAAAATAAAATATATAAAAATAGTAACTAATACAATAAAATTTATATAAAATTATCGTAACATCTAAATATAAAAATCGTTAAAAAATATTTTGCGAGTATTTCATAGGATTAGGTTAAGTAGGTAGGCGAATATCATGAATAGTATGAGTCCCACGAATCGGGTGATATTCAGCAAACTTTTAGTGCCCCGGCGTTTACGACTGTCCGGTAATCTCGTCTTAAGCGGCGATTTTATGCGGTCCTCAACCGTCAGTATGCGTAGGGACCGCGGGCTGGTGCTTACCCCTGGATGTAGTGTTCGTGGTGGTAATTATGTTTACGTTTTGTTTATTGAAATCGCATTTATTATGGAAGCTCAGATATGACCAAGGGAAGGGAGGGTCCGAAGGCCAGTGCCCGCCACAGCTCCGGGTCGGTAAAGAAATACTTGAATAGCGGCGGTTTGACGCCTACCTGTGCGGCCAACTCGTCCATAAAGTCGAGCCAATCCACTTGAATGGTATGCCTATCGCTCTCGTAGAAGCGTTTCATGAATATTCGCTTACTCTCGATGTCCTCATACATGGTCTGCCTGTCCGGTAGGGATAGCTTATTGGCCATCAGTTGGGCGAACCAACGCGACTCCATCTCCCCGATGGGTAACAGTGCGCCCACGGGTTGGGCCAGCGATATGAACGCCAGTGTCTTTGGGTGGGCCAACTTGGGTGAGAACATGTACTTATAGAGCTCCACCTGATTCTTGTCGGTGGGTATCAGCGATTGAGATATGAAAGGGAACGACACTTTATAGCCGGTGGCCAGTAGTACGACATCGCACGGAGTCTCTTGACTTTCGCCTTAAAAATAATTTGAGTATAATTTAATAAATGATGACCCTGTTGCAAATTTTACTATAATTGGACATACCTTTAAATATGATCCCATTGGGTGTAAACCTGTCTATATTTGGCTTAACAACGACAGTACCGGACAGTATGCGGTTGGGGAGGGCGTCGTTAACCATAATATGTTGCGATAGGAACCGGTGTTTGGGCTTTAGTTGGTAGTCGTGATGGTCGAACCGGTTGTTAACATACCATTCCATTACGGAACAGATCATACCGTAGGGCAGGAACTGCATGAAGAAGTTTATGTAACGCCGGATAAAACTGCTGTCAAACGGCTTTCCATTGGGACCCACTCTGTATGATATCCACGTGCCCGTGCGAGTCGATAAATATACCTGGTCGGTGTGTTTTAAATTATTTAATATAAATATTGATTAAATGTTTATCATAAAACAGTATAAATATCAATTTCTGATTAGTGTTTATTTGAATAACAAGTAAGTTTTATTTTTTTAAGCTTGAGTACTGTATATGTCATAAAAATGATCTATTAAAATAAAACTTATGAATTATTAAAAATTATTTTATGTGCTGTGTTCAATGACATTTTAAAAGTAATACAGGCAAAAATATTTAGAATTAAAGCTTACTGCATTTATTATTTTTATGGTATAATAATATTGGATAATTTTAAATTTTGTCAAACCTGTCCATAAGCAATACTATTTTTAAGTCTAGCTATATTAGATATAAGTTACTTTATAGCTTGAAATGAATTCATTAGATTTAGTAATAGGTTATGTTAAAAGTATATTTCAATGTGCTAATGTATCAGAATATTAATACACAATCGACATGTAAAAACAGGTTTTTCGTATAAGTGATTGATAGGGGAAAGGGCTACAGGTGTAGCACAAAAATTAGTATATTTCTATGGAAAAGATAACAAATTACCTAATGTTAGATAACAGAAATATTTTCACTTTAAACAAGCGTTGAATATATTTGACTCAAAATTGATTTCTTTGTTTTAAAGTGTTTTTCTAAAATGTCGTCAAAGGATAGCAAATACTCTTCAGACAAATACAACTCAAACAACACATCAAATAATAATAATTGGAAACAAAGTTTCGGTCAAAACAAGTCGACTAACGATAATAAAAAGTTTGACTCCAATAGTAGTAAATGTATTGAATGCGGAGAAAATAAAAAGTGTGCCAAAACTGGTAACTATTGTACGAAAACGACTAATTGGTGAGACTACCGGTGCTCGGAGTGGACACATACCTTATCGGACACGGCGGACAACTCAACGGCGGCGTCACCACCAGAGTT